TGCTCAGATTACCTAAAGATGCGGGGATGGAGCCATTAAGGTTATTGGAGTTTAAATATAAATTAGTAAGATACCTTAATTTTCCTATTTCTGATGGAATATTTCCGAAGAACTGATTGAAAGACAAATCAAGGTACTTGAGTTTGGAGAGAGTGCCAATGTGGGAAGGAATGATACCAGAAAGTGTATTGTTGAAAAGATTAAAACGGACAAGGTGGGGAAAGGATGAGAAGTTGAAGTTATGAAGCATACCTTGCAAACCCATACTCGATAGTGTTATCTGCTTAACTCTTCCAGCAGCTGGACTATTGCAAGTAATACCAACCCAATTGCATATGTCGTAGTGAGAAGAAGAGTTGGTGGAATGACCAACTAGTGGTCTCCAGGAAGAGAGAAGAGTTTTGGTTTGACTAGGAAGACTGGATTTCCATCGAAGAAGAGCTATGGCTTCTTGTGGCATGACAGAAGAGTTAAATTTTGGAAAGAGTGCAAGCAACAAAATAAAAATGAGAGTGAGGGACACGGATATTAGCTGAGATGGTAGGGATGAGAAGGAGGACGACTGAGCCATATTAAGTTAATTGTTTGTGGAGATAGCTAGTTGCAACCTAAGTATGGAATAATTAATGCAAAGGTGCGTGGGTTTAGGCGCGCTGTGGGAGAGGGAGAAATGAAATGGATGATCGATAGATGCATGGGGAGTTATATATATAAATCGTGGGAGCAAATTAAACTGTTGATAAGAAAGACATGGTGTTGAGCTATTGGCAAATCACTATCAATTAATTAGATAATATGGTTTTAGCACAGGTCAACCATTAATTGCACCTCAACCAAGTAAATAATTATTAACATTGGATGACTTTTAAGTGAATGCATCGCTCAGGTCATACACTATTTTTGAAGTGATCCCGCTTAAAAATCAACATTCGCTTTTTATTTTATTTTATTGTGATGCCGCTATTTGATTGAGCATACGACAAATGATCCATTATGTTTGAAGTGAACATAGAGCTCCATTCACATCACTGGGTCCCACTATACTAAATATCTGGAATAGTTCTTTGTTTTCAAGTTGAGAGTGACTAAATAGATGTAGATGGTGGAAAAATTAAATCAAGTCTTTTTTTTTTAAATTTTGAGAGTAAGTAAATAGACGTAAACGTGTGAAAAAAGAAAAATAGGTTATAAGTCTTCAATTGTGGAAAAATCAATTTTAAATCTCCATTGAAAAGTCATAGTTGGAGAAAAAGTATTTAACGTTATGTTCGATCATAAAATTCTAAGTCTAGAGTGACCAAAGTTCGGTCACTGTAAAATTCTTAGCATCCTCAGCACGTTATGCAGTATAATATTCGATCCAGATGTGCCAAAACAGTCGGTATAAAGCTACATGACAGCCCCAATGCAATTTGCCACCTAATTATTAATTCAGATTGAGAGTTTTCAATATGATCAGCTTTAGACGTGCTTCATAGAGTTTATGCTTTACCAGTTGCCCCAGCTGGTTGAACCATTCAATCCGGGAACATGTCAGAGGAAAAATTTATCTATATTAGTCTCAAATAGCTAAGGTCAAATTGGGAAATAAAATGATGTAGAGAGAATCAGAAACTGCAAAAATATGAAGTTGTTTTAGACTGGTCTGCCCCCTCCTCTTTTTGTGAATATAGAACTACATTCTCATCACTCGGCCCCATTATATTAAATATGAGATGTGAAAGATGAGAATGAAATTGATGGAAAGTTCTTTGTTTCTAAATAGATGTAGCTTGTGGAATATTTAATTCTGAGCTTTCAACTTTGTGGCCTTTTTTCAATTTTGAGAGTAAGTAAATAGATGTAACGTRTGAAAAAAGATAAAATAGGTTACGAATCTTCAATTGTGGAAAAATCAATTTTAAACATCCATTGAAAAGTCATAGTTGAAGAAAAAGTATTTAATGTTATGTTTGATCATAAAATTCTATCAAGAGTGACCAAAGTAAATACCATGACTTGTTGGAAAAATCATAAAATTCTCAAATAAGCCTGGCCTGGGCTCGAGCCCAGCCCGATACTATTACATATAATAAGAAGCATTTATGTTATATATATAATATATATTTGCTTGTTAAATTATTATTAAACATTAATTTACTATTAGCAAATAAAAAATAGTTTATTAATTTATTAAATTTATATAACATTAGTTTATAAAAGTACACTGAAAAGAAGACATTTTATGTACAAATTAGGTTTCAAGATTTATATAAGGGTTGGGTTCAAGTTCAAGATCTAGGCCCGATGGTTGGGTCAAGCTCGGGCTCGGGTTTGAAAATTTTTTGTTGATAAAGAGGCAAAGCCAAACTCGAGCCTGGCCCATGAACATGTCTAGTTGGGTGAAATCAGAATCCCATTCCCATTCCTGCTAAATGGCACTCCCTCATTTGAAGGAATGGCCATTCCCTGACCCTCCCTTTGGAGTGAAATCCCATTTCTTCTAATTCTAATTCCCATTCCTATTTCTGTCTGAACCAAGACAATGACCATTCTGATTCCAATTCCAATTCCAATTATGAACCAAACGACGAATTTCTTCCCCCAATATTCCTTCTTTCCCTGTGACAAGTTTCAAAAGCTTTTCAATTAATAGATTTATTACATTTGAAATGCTTATTGAGATGAAGAAAAGAAGAAGAAGAGAGACTTAGCAGCTTGGGTTCTATCACCGTTAACGAACAACTTGAACTTCTCTGGATTTATGGTTTTAAAGTCTTGCAATTGTGTCTTATGAGAAAGCTCCATCTCCCATTGTCTTGATGTAAAGTGCGGCAGGTCTATCTCCATAGCTTCTTTGTGTAAAGTGCGGCAGCTAAAAAAAATGGAAGTGGTTTTAATTGATGGTATACGACAAGGGTATCTCCCGGATGTGGTAGGTTTCGCTTACTACCACTATGTTTCGATTTATTCGTAGAAATTGTTCAAAATAATATCATTCCTAAATCCTAATTCCTAATGTATGGAATAACAATACTTTGATGAACTATTTTTTTAAATTTGGACAACCGGTGAAAGCTAAGATTATCTTCCGCAATATGATCCTATGCAATGTTTCCTCATCTCCAACTACATATACCACCATGATTGATGGCTTCTGTAAAGCAGGTTATAGCGTTAATACCCTTCGGTTCGGTTATTTAGGAACTTACGACGGCATGGATTTCTTCCCCAAACCCACTAGTGTGAATAATTCTAAGCATTACTAACGTCCTCTTGTTGGTTCCTGAATAACCATTGTAAGTTTCCAATTTACATAGGCCATCAACTATGGTGTTATATGTAGTTGGAGATGGAGAAACATTGCTTAGGATCATATCGTAGATGATATTGTTAGCTTCTACCGATTGTCCAGATTCCTCGATAGTTTTTACATGACTTTTTTTTTTCATTTGTTTTCCTCATAGCTTCTTTCTAAGATCATATTTGGCCACGTCAACAAATGTGATGTTACCTCCGTAATTCCATTTTTGAAATCAAAGTTGGTTTAAGACTTTAGGTACTGTAAGACTTGTTACGTTACAGTAGTAGTCATTCTTGTAGAAATAGAAGAAATATGGAACCGCCATGGACGCTTCTCTCCTATGGGGTGGGGTTGGGTGGGGTCAGTGTGTGAGACCACTTTTTCCTTCTGTGTAAAAGAGTCAAAATCACTTATCAGGTTTACTATGAACAAACCAGTGATACAACAATATAATTTGATGGTATCTTTAATGATGTCATAGTATTTAATGCATGATAAGTGATTTGTTTAAATTTTTATGTAACATGCAAGTAAACATTTTCAAATACACTTTAGTTGGATTGTGTAGTTTAGGGAGTTAAATGATATCCCTCAAACTAAGAGTTTACATCACCTTTAAAATCTATTTATTTTACTTTTAATTTCCCAAGTCTCTATGCCCATCATCATAAACTTTCTATTTTTATTAGGCCTTATTCATTTGTTGGTATTTAGGAAGGGGTAAGTTGGTTAAATAGGCAATTGACCACACATCTCTACATTCACATGTTACTATATTGGGTCCCACGGTAAGTCAAGATAACGGAGAGTACCTATTACCTCAAACAACTAATACCCTCTTGGAGGGTGGGTAAGCAACTTACTCGTGCGCTGAAATGCTCCTCCCTCCTACCTCTGTTTTTATTTGGGTAACTAATTTTTATCACATAAGAACATTGGAAGCGAACTTACCCAGGCAAGTTTTATTTAAGAAACATTTTCCTAGAT